TTTTTTTTTTTTTTTTTTTTTTTTTTTCTTTTTTTTAAAAAATTTTTATTTTTTCAATATACAATGTATATGATTATTATGGCCCATCACCGACACCTCCCGCCCTCTTCCCTCTCTCCCCCCCCCCCCCACAATGTCCTTTCCGTTTACTTGTTGTAACAACTTCAAAAAAGTATAGTTGTTATATCTTCTTCCCCGCCCCACCCCCGGGTTTTTTTGTGTGTGTTTGTGGGTGAATTAATTTGTTTGTTTTTTAGCTCCCTCCGATGAGTGAGAACATGTGGTATTTCTTTTTCTCTGCCTGACTCGTTTCACTCAATATTATTCTCTCAAGGTCCATCCATGTTGTTGCAAATGGCAGTATTTCATTCGTTTTTATAGCTGAGTAGTTTTCTATTGTTTTTTAATTCCCTATTTCATATATTTCTGTGGTAATCTTTGTTAATTCCTACTTATATTTGCTTTTGGTTTAGTTTGTTCTACTTTTTCTATTTTTTAAGATAAAAGTTTACATTACTGATTTGAGATTTTTCTTATTTTTAATACAGGTGTGGACAAGCATAAATTTTCCTCTAAGCACTGCACGAGCCCTACATCCTATAAATTTTGATAGGCTGTGCTTTGATCTTTTTCTCAAAGTACTCTTTAATTTCTCTGTGATTTTTCTTTTTACTCATTGTTTATTTAGGAGAGTGTTGTTTAATTTCCACACATTAGTGAGTTTTCTAAATTTCCTTCTGTTATTGTGGTAAGAGAACATATTTCCTATGATCTTATGAGTCCTTTTTTTCTAGGCATTTCTCAAAGGAAGATATATGAATGGTCGACACATGAAAAAATGCTCAACATTACTCAGCATTCAGGAAATGCAAATCAAAACCACACTGAGATATCATCTCACTCCAGTTAGGCTGGCTAATATCCAAAAGACTGAGACTAACAAATGCTGACAAGGATGTGGAGAAAGGGGAACTCTCCTATACTGTTGGTGGGACTGTAAAATGGTGCAGCCATTATTGAAAATGGTATGAGGTTCCTCAAACAGCTTCAGATAGAATTGCCATATGACCCAGCTATCCCACTGCTGGGTATATACCCGAAGGAATGGAAATCATCTTGTTGAAGGGATATCTACACTCCCATGTTTACTACAGCTCTATTTATAGTAGCCAAGAGTTGGAATTAGCCTAAATGCTCATCATCAGACAAGTGGATAAGGAAAATGTGGTGTATCTATACAATGGAATACTACTTTGCTATAAAACAGAATGGAATACTACCATTCACAGCAACATGGATAAACTTAAAGAAAATTATGTTAAGTGAAAAAAGCCAGGCACAGAAAGAGAAATACCACATGTTTTCACTTATATGTGGGAGCTAATAAAAATAAATAAACAAATAAATAGGAAATAAAAACACAACAATCATAATAATTTCTTGAACTTGTTAAGAGAACAGATATGATGTTAATGGAGGTGAGAAAGGGAGGAATTGGTAAAAGGCCACGAAAATCAACTACATTGTATAATGATAAATTAAAAAAAAAAAAGAAATATCTACTTATGTGAGAGGTTGATTTGCCTCCTTTTAACACAAAATATTTTATATATGTCAATTATTAAAAAAAAAAAAAAAAAAGACTGATACAATGACTGGAGAAGGACCAGGAGAGACCATAGAGCAAGAGTTTCAGACTCACAGGCCTCCAGGGGCCAGGCAGGAAAGGTTCATATGCAAAGATGGACTGATGTGATTCTGGAGAACTAGAGTGTACCTGCCACTCAGCTAGAGCAAACTGTCCCAAGCAGAAATCCATGCCCAGTATGCCAGAATATTTGGCTTTTCAGGTCACAGTGGATATTTGGAATTTATGTGAAATTTTTGATTTTTAAATGTTAGCAACTGGTTCAAATTTTCAAAAAACAGCCCAAATAAAGCACATTTAGAGGACATGATCAGACCACAAGCTGCTGTTTTGCAACCTCTGTTACAGTCCCCACTTATAAACATCTCAACAAATTTTGATGATTTTTATGAAAATATAACCAAAAAAAGGGGAAAAATTTAAATAAACAAACAAAAGTTCATGGGAAAATTTCCATTATTTTTCAGTTCTATTTTCCACAAACTTTTTGATGTGCCCTTGTGTTTACATTGTTTCATTGATTTTTATGCAATTTATGTTGTTAAACTTAGATATTTAATTTCTGTTCTTGATTGCTTTTTATTAAGTGGACTTGTTGATTTGCTTAGAAATTAGTTCGCCTTTGTAAAGTTTATTCATCTTCCTCTGTTGAAATTAATGTAATATTTGCATGCTTTTGGAAGACTTTAGAGAGCTATTTCAAATAATTGTAGAAATTATAAAAAGAGCCGAGCCTGTGGCACACTCGGGAGAGTGTGGCGCTGGGAGCGCAGTAGCACTCTCGCCGTGGGTTCGGATCCTATATAGGGATGACCCGGTGCGCTCACATGCTCACTGGCTGAGCACGGTACGGCTGGTCTCAAAAAGGACAAAAAAAAAAAAGAAATTATAAAAAGAAATATGGAAATTTTAATAAGCTTTACATCTCTAGTTTTTGTGAAAATTTGAAGCTCTACTTTCTACACAGTATTTTGGTATTCATCTGTTATTCAGTTTATATATTTGTTATTTGAACAAATAAATATGCATATCCTTGTTTAAAAAAAAAAAAAGAAATGCAGTATGTCAAACCTCACCTTAGACCTACTGAATCAGAACCAGTATTTTAAGAAGATTCCCTGTTGCTCTGTTTGCACATTAAAGTTTGAGAAACACTGCACTAGGGGTGGAACCCAGAATTAGTGTTTTTTACAAAGCTCCCCCAGTAATTTTGGTAATTAGCTAAGTTTGGGAACCACTGTCCAATAAGAAAACTACTGTTACTTTAATGATGACCCAGTATTATAAAGAAAAGTTTAAAATATCTGCAGAATGTTATGTTTATCTTTTAGTTTTTTTTCTTCTATTTATTGCCGTAATAACATTATAACATTTTCCCCCAAAAGGGGAAAAAAAATCACTCACAACAGCACCCTCTTGACATATTAATGGGTTTTAACAAAAATTACTGTCTTATTTATGTGCTCACATATTTTTTAAAAACATGTTATAATCAAAATAATAGACCACAAGTTTGTATATGTATCTTCTGTTTGTAAAGAAAAGGAAAACATGCAAAACATTTTAGAAAGCTCTGCATCCAAAGGGGTTAAAATAAAATTTGGGGGCTTAAAGTTATAAATATTTGCCAACTGGAAAACACTTCAAAAACAATGCTGGACAAACAGATTTCACTCTACACTGAAAGACACTTAAGAGGTAGGAACTACTTTATTCTCATTTACCAGTGAGGAAATAGTGTATCTTCTAAGGTTGTAAGTATTGAAAGAGGGATTCAAACTCAGTGTATAAGGCAGATAGCTCTAGAGTCCAGTTCTTAACTTACTCTGCTATTAGTTCAAATAAGAGACTACAATGTCAACAAAGCAACATCATTTTAATAAAAAGGCAAATTTGTGAAAAATAAAGTCAAAAGTAAAAAAGCACAATATAATCAATACATTTTCTATCGTACCAAGTTGGAGGATCAAAGTAGATAAAATAGGTAAGTCTACTAAAGAAGTTTATTTCTTTTAAAAAGACAGAAAATAGGAGAAATTAAGTGGGATTTCAAAAATTCTTAATAACTGAATGAGCTTATAGTGAGAAAAGTACATTTTAAAAGCAATTCTGTAAAAGTCAATTAAATAAATTTTTTTGTTCTATAAAAAGATGAACTGTGTCTTTAAAGAATATAGTTAGAACAGGAAGGAATAGGAATAGGAATATTTCTCAATCACAAACTTTCTATTTTGACTCGAATCACAAAATATTAATACTTAAAATTAGAAACACTACAAGGACATAAAATTTAAATGCTATGGCTTTTGTATATTGAAGTGTACTTACATTTACTCAGATAAACTTATGAATAAACATTGGAAATGGTTAGAAACTTATAAAAATTATAGCATTTACATTAATTAGAACCACTAAGAGTAAGTTTTATTTGGTTGAAACACAAATTGTTTGTAAAATAAAATATATCCCATTTAATTTCAAATCTCATTAATAATCTCAGTTATTGTAAATTAGTACCTTGCACTTTTCAACTTCTTCCTCAATTTTCTCAACAATAGCTGCATCCAGAATTTGTAAATCACAAGAAGAACGAGACAAAGTACTGACAGGATGTCCTTTTAGCCAAGTAATAATTTCTTGAACTTTCTCAGCACTACAGTAAAAACAAGAACAATAATTTTTTTCACAGTGGTTAAAACTTTCTGGGATTACACAAAAGGCCTGATGTAAACTTTCTGAGGGTGGTGAATTATAAAAGACATAAAATTGATATAATTAACAATTAACCACTTAACTTAATTAGGACTAATTATAAATCATATAAATATAGGCATATTATCTCTCAGTAATAAAAAATATCACAAATATTAGTTTTAAAATATTTACTGATATAAATGATATAAAATTTCTATTAAGTTCTTATAAATACCACAAATCTTGCTTACCCATTCTCATTTTCTCCAGGCCAAATGTCATCTTCATAGAACACATCCTCTTGGCTATTTTTGGCTATATAACTAAAAAGTTCTGGAGCTCTAACCAAACAAACAAAAATATTGCTTTAAAAAAATATATGGCTAACTTCACACAAACTTTTTATGAAATAATTTTGGATACTAAGGGGACATATACAGTATACTGTGGACTGATTATTATAGTATTAATAAGGGATATTATTAATAAAAGATAGAGAATGATTTGAAAGCCAGATTATAACTGGGCCCACTGGCTGAGAGAGAAATGGTTCAACTCAAAAATTTATAATAAACTTCATTTACTGACTCTATATCTCTTTGATTATAATGACAGGTGATAAAATAAATTATTAAAATAATATATATAGGTTCATTTTCTAATTTTTACAAAAAAGCTGGGGCACTCCATAATAGAGCAAATTAAAAGAGATTAGTTTCTTTTGATATTTCTCAAAACTCCATTTTTTTCTGAATAATGTAGGACTCGGGAACATATAATAGATTGAACACATGTGCTTATCTTTGGTCCCTCCCCAACCTACTAAAATGACGATGAAGTGTAAAAAAGAGCATAGAAAGACAGATGAAGAGAGAAGCAGAGTGTCTGACAACATATATGAGTTGTTAACAAAATTTTAGAAATTGGAAACTGTATAGATGAGTATAAGCTGATTTCGCAGACAGGAATATGCTGAATCCTAAACCATCAGTGGGAGAAGTTAACAAGAAACAAATTGATTTGAACCATAGAACTCTGTAAAAGCTCATGAATTATGGGCTCTAGGTACAGTTAAAGCCTTTGGTGTGTAGTGAGGTAATAAGATTTTAGATGAAAATTTGCATAACAAGCAGTTACAGAGTTATGTGGTTACTTGCCTACACTCCAGCATAAACTTGTAGTTTATATTTTGGAGAAGTCAAATAGGAGATGCTCTAGCCTTGGGTATACCAGGCACACAAAGCTGGCGGAGGGGGATGCAAGGAGGAGAGGCTAGGTTCTGTAATGAAAACAGGGAATTAATAAAAGCATAAATACTACACAAAGTGTCACTAGTAAGCATAATTTCTCTAGGAAGCAGACTCTGAGATGGACATAAGCATGGAGAAATTTAGCAGGGAGTGCCTGTGGGATCAACACCTACAGAAGAGAAGGGAAAGCAAGGAAACGGAATTGAGCATAGGGAGAAGTTGGGCTGTGATTCATTCTCAGTGAATCCCTTGGCTAAGCCTACAAAGATCTCAAACTAGGATGGCCCTTCAGACTTGTTCTGAACTGCGGCAATAAGATTACCTGGGTCTTTACACCTCCTTATAGATCAGGCACTGGGTATGTGGCTGTTGTGGAAAGAGGATGTAACTTTAGGTGAGGCAGTTCTCTTTATCCAGGCAATTCCTGAAGACTCACAGCTAATGGCTGTCAAACAGCAGCACTTCAGCTGTTGGGGGAATAGTTTCCTTCAATCTTGAAGGGAGATTGGGGTGTATCACAGTATCTAACTAGGTTAATCTTCCAAACACTGAAAGTTAGTATTGTTCCCCACCTTCATTTCCCCAAGGAAAAGGCTGGAGGATACCTCTTAAGGAAAATTAGCCAGTCAAAGAGAAAAGATGTACATACAGGTAGTGATACTAGGAGGACCTCTATAGAAATAGCAAAGTTCCATCTAATAAGCCCCACTCAAGTGAACTAAATTTCCAATCAGCCTTTTAGTGCCTTGTTCTTAAGTATAATTGGACACCAAAGAATCAGCAGAAAAGTGAAAAAAAAAAAAATCTTTAACATGAAAGGAGAGAACACATCAAACAGGAGGGGAAAAAAAGCAACTGGGAGAAAACAGAACATCCAAAAAAGAAAAAAAAAAAAAGTAGAAGAAAAAAATCTGGAATTAATATCTTCAGAGAAAGAAAAAAGGACATTCCACTCATTATAAGAGCAAGATGCTATAAAAAGGAATAGCCAGAGAATGATACACTTTTAGAAATTAAAAATGATTAAATTAAATAGAAGATAAAGTTGAAGAAATTTCCCACAGAGTAGAAGTATAACAACATAGAAAATGGATGAGAAGAGATAAGAAAATTAAGAGGATTAATCCAGGTCTAATATTTAAGTAGCAGAAGTCCCCAAAAGAGAGAACAACAACAAAATGGTTAGGAAGAAACTACCAAAGAAATAATATAAGAATGTTTCTCAGAATGGAAGGGCATCTGTTTCAAGCCCAAAAGGGCTGAACAGCAACAGGAAACAAAAAAGATACATTCCAAAGCACACATCATCACATTATTACCCAGCACAGGTAAAAGGAAGATCCTAAAAAGATTTCAGAAAATGAAAATAGATTCACATACAAAGATTCAGTATCAGAATGGCAGAGTTTATCAATAGCAATACTGAAAATGAGAAGAGAATGGCGCAGCGCTTTCAAAATTCTGAGTGAAAATAATCTCCAATCTAGGATTCTACACTCAGGCAAGCTACCAATCAAGACCAGGAGGACGGACCTAGAGAGAACTATATTAAGTGAAAAGAGTCAGTTGCAGAAAGAGGAATATCACATGTTCTCACTTATTTGTGGGAGCTAAAAATAAATAAATAAATACACAAATAACCTGGGGAGGAGGGAAGAAGACACAACAATTACAATTCCTTGAAGTTGATGGGACAAGCGAACAGAAAGGAGGGTGGGAGGGAGGGGGGAGGAGGGGGAGAAGGAGGGAAGAGGGGGGAGGGAGGAAGCTTTCAAGAATGGGCCATAATAATCAACCACATTGTATACTGACAAAATGAAATAAAATAAAATAATAATAAAAAAAAGTTTTCAGAAATGGCAAATAAAAAAATGGAATTCCCTTTAAAAAAAAAAAAAATCAAGACCAGGAGAAGAATAAAGACATTTTCAGACATGCAAGCTTATTCAGGAAGCTATAGGACTAAGTGCTCCATCAAAATGGATACATAAATCAGAAAGAGTAATGTATGGGAGTCAGAAAATGAAGAAATCTTACACAGGAGAATGGCGAAGGGAATTCCTAGGATGACAGTAAAGTGAAACTCCAGAAGGAGAGCTATGCAACAGCCCTAGAGAGAAATCAGTTCAGACTGAAGCAGGAAGACAGAAGGTTTGAGGAGGAAGTCTCCAAATAAAAATGGAACTGAAAGATCACCTTTTCTGTTTGACCATATCTAGTTTTACAGCTATGGTAAAGAGTTTAGGGCTGAATTAGTTATGTTAACATAGATGATAAGCAAATGAAAAAACAATAGGGAAAACAAAAACGTGTACAAGAAGGGAAATGTAATCAAAATACCCTACAAGGTCCAGCTGTGAACAGTTACTTTTGCAAACCTTTTATACATTTAACCAAAAACTGATGAAGCTTTAGTGAGTGGGGAAATATGTATGAGTGTATAGGGAGGTGAGGGAATAGGGTCTGGCAGTAGTAGAAGAAAACTAAAACTCATCTCTCATACTAGGAAATCAATGGACATGTCAGGTTGAAAAATTAAGGAAAAAGTATTTTAAATTCGACCTTTTAAAGAAATATGGAAGTGAACAGAACAATCTAAATTTTCAGATGGTAACATGAAATCGAATTGTGTCTCCCTGGTGCCCACAAAAGATACAGAATGTGACTTTATTTGGAAATAACATTTTTATAGAGGCAAGTTAAAATTAAGTAATTTAGGGTGAGCCCTAATCCAATATGACTGGTATCCTTATAACAAAAGGAAACTGGGGTACACAGACAGATACACACGGATGTAAGATGATGTGAAGATACACAGGGAGAATGTCATGTGAAGATGGAGGACTGAAGTAATGTACCTACAAGCCAAGGAACACATGAGGCTATGAGAAACTGTGACTGGTATCCTTATAACAAAAGGAAACTGGGGTACACAGACAGATACACACGGATGTAAGGTGATGTGAAGATACACAGGGAGAATGTCATGTGAAGATGGAGGACTGAAGTAATGTACCTACAAGCCAAGGAACACATGAGGCTATGAGAAACTGAGAGAGGTGTTTCCCTACTGCCTTCAGAGGGACCATGGCCCTGTTGACATCTTGATTTTGGATTTCTTGCCTACAGAACTGTGAGACAATAAATTTTTGTTATTTAAGCAATCCAGTTTCTTGCACTTAGTACGGGAGCCTTAGGAAACTAATACAGGGATCCTCAAATATAAGAAGATTAGAAACCAGTGGAACAATGGAAAGAACATTCAATGTGAATAAGAAGTGAACATATTTCCTGTAAACCTTTGTCACTATTTACCTCACTTAACCTTGGTACTCAGTTTTCTCATTTTCTTATCATTTCAGCAAGAAAACTCAATCATTCTAGGATAGTAGACTTTTGTCCAGCTGGAGTTGTAAGAATCAGGAAAATACACTATGCCAAGGGCTGTTTTGTTCATCCATACCAGTCCTCTTAGTACTGACACAGGCATGCAAAGTAGTGAATAATTTATGATAGCAAGTCAAGAAAAATTTTCATTAAAAGAAGGCCAATTCTCATCATACTTTTTCTTTTTAATAATATAAGGATGATATTTTTCTATTTTAGCTAATGGCTGTGATGCTCCCTGACACAAAATTAAGTTTATAATCAAGTCTGTATGCATATATGTCACATTTTACTAAAGGAATATTTTTCTTCTAAAACTGCAAGGCAAAATAAATTAGTACATTCCTAAGTTTTGGAACACCTAGTAGGATCTTGTTAGGCACTTACCTCTCTAAGTACTCTGCAAGAAGTTGTTCTGCTGCAGATGAATACATCCATTCACTTCCAACTTTCTTAGTATATCCAGGTACCTCCTCATTTTTTTTGTTGAATTTGAGATTTAAACCCACATTTGCTTTATGGTCTCCATGAGGGCTGAATTTAAACCACACACACACATACACACACCACACACGTTATAAAATGTTGTTCAAGGAATAAAAAGGTTTGCTTTCAATTCTTAGAAAAGTTCAGTTTTAATTGTTCTACATTTTAGTCATTATGGTTATTTTCAAAGTAGCAGTAATTGGAAAAACTAGAGGAAAGGCTTTAAAACTCAAGTTAACAAAGCATGTAAATGAATTATGTAAGTATAGAAGAAAATGAAATAAAAAAATGCAAGGAAATATATTACTGAGGTTCACACACACCCTCCGATACCTTTTTTCAAGGTTCAATTTGTTACCTGCTAAAAATAAAAACTGTCTTTCCAACCATGTAAAACATGTGCCATTCAGATGAAATAACACCATCAGAGGAATTTATAAACAATTTTTTAAACACCTCAGAGCAATTAAAAAGGAAAATAAATACTAAAATATTAAGCATTTAATCTTTATCATTTTTCTGCCACTTTAAGTAAATTTCTCTAATATAAACTTACTTTCGCCTAGATCCTCTTCCAATAAAAATACTTCCTGTAAACCTTGAAACAAGGTAACCATTCACTCCAAGGCGACTGGCCAACACATATCCTGGGTTGTACTTTATAGAATATTTCTTTAAATATAAAAACAAAAAAGTCAATTATGGAAACACAAGTTTACATTAAATATTATTTCTTTACCTTTAAAATCTGGAGATAATCAAGACATCACTAACCACTGGATAGTGGCAATATAAGGATTCTCACTTAGATCCATTTCCTTTTTTTTTTTGAAAGGATCTGTAGGCAGAATTTTTCTGCTCCTCTCTCTTTCTCCTTAAAGGACAGAATTCCCAAGGATGGATGAAAGGGGGAGGAAATATATAGTTTGTGAAAGTGTCTCAAGAAATCAATGCTACTGTTAAGTACTAAGTGGCAAACTCCAAAGGCAAGATTTTTTGAAAAACTAATTTTATATTCTAAGCAGGGCCTATCAACGGAGGGATAAAATGAGGCCTCAGTAACTACTATACTGAATTAAAACATGAGTATGTCATCAAAATAGTTGCTACTGAGAAAAATTAGAAGTGTCACATGAAAGTAACAAATATGCACAGGTTTACAATTAATACAGTTAATGAAATATAATCCTAATTTGTATACTTAAGGGAAGAAACCATAAAGATTGTCAAATAAAAGAAGTATCAGATCATATAATTTTTAACCAGGAAGATTATTATTCACAAATCCAGTACCAACTACCATATACTCTTAATATAATGTATATAACAATAGCACATAATTATTTTATATTTATATATTCATATTCATATTATATGAAGGTTATATTCATATTTTATATTCATATCAGATATGAATATAAGATAATTTTATTGCCAACAAAAAAACTTCCAGAGATTGGTAAGATCAATTTTTTTTTATTGATGTCTATAATGACCCCCCAAATGGATAATTTTTTGGTGGCCTGGAATATAAAGTTACTGTTAAATAAATATGTAAATATGTTAGTAAAGAAAGCAACATAGTTTTTCATCAAGAACATTATCAGATTTAGCAATAATATAATACAAATCAAGTATGCCTTCCAGAACAGATCGAAAGAATTAAGGCAGGTGTTCTAAATCACAAATAGTACCACTTTTCTAATAAGCATCTGAAAATGTGTAGAGGCACATCCAATTACAATAACTGGCATGGGCACTTAATGCCCAAGGGCCAAAGATGCCAGCTGTCCTGCCATACACAGAATAGTCCTATTTAATACATACTGTCCTGCCTAAAATACCAATTGTACTCCTTCTGAGAAACACTGGGTTATGCCATATAGTGGTCCCCTTTTATCCATGGTTTCAGTTACTCAAGGTAGAGTACAATAAAATATTTTGAGAGAGAAAGACCACATTCATATAACTTTCATTATAGTATATTGTTATAATTGCTTTATTTTATTATTAGTTATTTGTTAATCTCTTACAGTGCCTGATTTATAGTTAAACTTTATCATAGGTATGTACAGGAAAAAACATGGCATATATAGGGTTTAGTACTATCTGTGGTTTCAGGTATAAACCAGGGATCTTGAAATGTATCCCCTGGGGAAAAGGGAGACTACTGTAATTAGAAGTTAAAATCATCAAAAATATCATTGAAAATATAAAGTAAATAGCTGAGAATGTTGGGGTGGAGAGAGAAGGTGGCTTGAGTGAAACTTAAAGAAGGTATGCAAAGAGAAAAGTATAATGAAGAGGGCACGCCGATCAACACTGTACGAGTGGGTAGGTTCTTCTAGATCTAGAAAAAGCCAAGGATGAAGGAACACAAGTTCTTCCACCTTCACTGACTCCCAAAACAAAGATCCAGATTCTTTATCTAATGGCCCACTCTCCTGGTTTCCTGACTATACTGTCTAAATTCTTTCTCCAAAAGAGACTTGATAGTAAAATTTTAGGAATGTCTCTGCCTTCCATACATAAAGTTTCCTCATGGGTATGCTGATGCTTAATGCCTTCAATTCATTTCACAGGATACAAAGCTTTAGATTTTACCATTAGAAAAAAAATTTTTTTTTACCATAAGTAGCAATAGTTGGTTTATCATGAATTAATTTCAGTTTAGTCAATTATCCAATTAATCAATAAGAACAAATGACAAATATCAGAACCTTCCCCCTATTTTAACAGGGGAAAGGAGGCCAGTGAACATCTTTGGAGAAAAAGTCCTGAAAAAAGACGTTGTGAACTTAAATGCAGTTTTCCAATATTCTCTAGGGTTGAGACTATTCATTTTTAGTTGGGTTGAGGTAAACAACTTTTGCAGAAAGGCTATTTGTCACTTGTAAGTAAAAATGCAGGCTCTGAATTATTATGAAAGGTTTAAAAAACCTAAGTCTACTCCCAGAGGGTATGCTAATCAATGTGGCTCTTATAAGCTTGAGCAAATAAAGGAATTTCAGTGATTTTCCCTGCAAAGATCTGCACAAGGTTTTGAGCACAGATTCCACACTTATTTTTAAATACTACTAGATACAACTGTGAGAGAATCTGATCAGTACTAAATAAAACACGTGAAATACATTCAAAGGAGGTAGCAGAAATACCCTTCTAACATTTTAAGAAGTTTATCAACTCTGAATGAAACAATATGAAGTACAGTACTCACATGCTGGTTCTGTATTAAAGCATCAAGATTGGGTTCACATGGAATGCTGAAAACCACACGAATCCTACCTTCTGTAATCACATCACCTGAATCCTGAACCTTAGAGGGGAAAAAAAAAAAACACAGTATGTTTTAGGCTCTTTCACTACATTTTATTTTTCTTATTTGAACAGAATTTATTATTTCTGAAATACAGTATGACAAAGTTAGATAGTGGAAATTCTCTTGGAATTTATGAGTGGATGTCATAATATTGTAAAATTGAGTCACTGTATCCTTGCTTTAATAGCTGTTAATCTTTCCTTTTTTTCTTTAAACTTTTTACTTGCAAATAATTAGTGTCAAAAAGTTGCAAAAATACAGTACAAAGAACACCTGAAAACATTTATTTAGATTCACCTATTGTTAACATTGTAAAGCAAAGGGCTTTAACATCTGCACACTGTTTATGTGTATTTACATACACATAATTATTTCTCTGAACCTTTTGAGGATATAATCATGTTCCTTACCTCTAAATATTTCTGTGTATATTTCCAAAGAAGGATATTTTGTTATATTACCACAGTACAATTATTAAGTATATAAATTTATACTGATACAATACTTTTTTCTAAGCTACTATCCATACTCCAATTTTGTTAGTTGACCTATCAATGTCCTCTATAGAACTCTTTTCTCCCTCTACTACAGAATCCAGGATAGAATCAGATATTGCATTTAGTTGTCATATCTCTTTTGGCATACTTTAATCTGGAATATATTCAGAGCCTTTCTGTGTTTTTCATAACATTGAAATTTTAAAGAATACAATTCATCCTTCCCTTTTTTTAAAAAAAGTTCCTTATTTTAGGTTTGTCTGATGCTTCTTCTTAATTAGGTTAAGGTTATACATTCTCAGCCAGAATACTGAATAGGTAATGTGTCCTTCTTGGGGTATCACATCTGGAGGTATGCGATGTTCATCTGTCCCTTATTGTGAATCCTGAGTTCATATCAATATTTTCAAATACAAATTCACTCAGCCCTATAAATACATCTAAAATAGTTTCAGAATTGTTTCATCCATACCACCATAATAAAAAAACCTACTAAAAAAGCAATCAGGATTTGAATTTTTTATCTCCTACCTCCTGACCCTAACCCACTCAAGACTAAAGATATATAGTCAAATACGGTGTTTACAGAATGAAAGAATTTTTTCTTATTTTTCCTCTTTCGTATTATATTTTATTTTGCGCCTAAATGAGAAGTTAAATAACTGTATTAACTTGAAACTAGGGTGTTTACAGAATGAAAGAATTTTTTCTTATTTTTCCTCTTTCGTATTATATTTTATTTTGTGCCTAAATGAGAAGTTAAATAACTGTATTAACTTGAAACTACAAAGAAATTTAATTAGTAACAGTAACTGAAACTAACTTCTCCAGTGCAGCCATAATAGGGGGTTCCCAGCATAAAGACCGTACTTCTAGGAGGAAACAAATCATCCAATGTTTTGATATTGGAGAAACGAGAGTCGAAAGCTCGGATGTCCTATGTAAAATGAAATATAAAAGGAAATCATCACAGTCAAAATTTCTATAGATTGCACATCAAGTTTTTTTCCCCATGGTATTATGATTATGCTGTCTACAAATATCAAAGATGAACATTTTCTACATAGCAATACTAGCAGCTAAAATTTATTAACTGGGTATATGCCAGGCACTCTTCCAGGTGCTTCACACATTTATTTAGTTCATTTAATCCTCAAGATAATCCTCTGTGGCAGAGACCATTATTGGCCTCACTTTACAGATGTGGAAAAACTGGGGCACAGAAAGGGGCTGAATCTTGTCCAAGGTCACATAGCTAAGAAGCCAACTCTAGCAGTCTGTGTTCTTATGCACCATATTGTATCCCCCAAATTACAAGATCACTACATACTTTAAAAAATATTTTGTCCCCTTACCATATCTAAGGTTATAAACACAAAGAAATACCTTTTATGTTTATTGGTTTATTTAAGGCAAACATCTAAAATGCAATAGTATAAGTTAATGCTGGGAAGTATTTTTTTTAGAGACTAAGTCCTTAAAAAAAAAATAAAAAAAAAGACAATTTCCCTAACTGTACACACACACACACAGTGAATGTCTGAGCATATATTACTCCTTATAAAGACTAAGGTATTTTGCAAGTTATATTAAATAATAATCTCTATTATACATTGCTGAATTAGTCTTCTATTTATAAATAAATATTAATATAGTCTTTTCTTTATACAATGTGTAATAGTGTACATCAGGAGATTTACCTTGACAATAGTTTGATAAACAAAAGGAAGAACTTGTTTGGACCACTGTTTCTCTAGACGAACTTCACCATTTTGATTTATTTGATATTTACGACCTGTGAGTAACTGAGCATACACAACTGCAGATGTTTCATTTATTATTATTCCCTTTCTTTTCAGGTAGCTAAAAGAAAGAATAAAAAAGAAATATATATGTGTTTAGGTATGTATATATTCTATGATCATAATCATCACTTAAACTACCATCTCACAATCAAATACTTAAACTTTAAATAAATATGCTAGCAGTTCTGGGTATCTAACTTAAAACTTTTTGCATTATTTATTTTCCTATGAGTGTACTTTTCCTACTGCCTATAAGATTAAATGAGAACTCATAGATCTATAAGAAACTCCTGCCAACTGATCTTTGACAAAGGCAACAAGAACATGCACTGGGGAAAAGACTGCCTCTTCAATAAATGGTGCTGGGAAAACTGGACATCCATATGTAGAAGAATGAAACTAGACCTGTACCTCTCACCATACACCAAAATCAACTCAAAATGAATTAAAGACTTAAATATAAGACCTGAAACTATAAAGCTCCTAAAAGAAAATGCAGGGGAAACACTTCGGAAGTAGGACTGGGCAAAGATTTTATGAATATGACCCCCAAAGCACAGGCAACAAAAGGAAAAATAAACAAATGGGATTATTTCAAACTACAAAGCTTCTGCACAGCAAAAGAAGCAATTAACACAGCAAAAAGACAACCTACGGAATGGGAGAAAATATTTACAAACTACGCATCTGACAAAGGATTAATATCCAGAATATACAAGGAACTCAAACAACTTAACAGTAAAAAAAATAACCCAATTAAAAAATGGGCAAAGGAACTGAATAGGCATCTCTCAAAGGAAGGTATACAAATGGCAACAGACACATGAAAAAAATGCTCAATATCATGAAGCATCAGAGAAATGCAAACCAGAACCACATTAATTTTTTTTTTCCTTTTTGTCTTTTTTCGTGACCGGTAACGGGATCGCAACCCTCAGTGTCGCGCCCGTACCGTGACCGGCAACGGGATCGCAACCCTCGGTGTCACGCCCGCACCGCGCTCAACCAGTGAGCGGACCGGTCTGTATATGGGATCCGAACCCTTGGCGGGAGCGCCACCGTGCTCCCAAGCGCTGCACCCTACTGAGTGCGCCACCGGGCCGGCCCCCAGAACCACATTAAGATACCATCTCACCCCAGTTAGACTGGCTATCATCAAAAGATGGAGAGCAAATGCTGACAAGGATGTGGAGAAAGGGGAACCCTCCTACACTGTTAGTGGGACTGTAAATTGGGGCAATCACTATAGAAAACAGTATGGAGATTTCTTAAACAATTTCAAACAGAGCTGCCATATGATCCAGCAATTCTATTGCTGGTATATATCCAAAGGAATGGAAAGCATTATATCAAAGAGATACCTGCACCCCATGTTTATTGCAGCTCTATTTACAATAGCCAAAAGTTGGAACCAACCTAAATGTCCACCATCAGATGACGCCAAAAGAGTGGTATATATACACAATAGACTATTACTCAGCTATAAAAAAGGACAAAATACTACCATTTGCAGCAACATGAACTTAGAGAAAATCATATTAAGTGAAATAAGCCAGGCACAGAAAGAGAAATACTGTATGTTCTCATTCATAAGTGGGCACTAAAATAATAAACACATAAATAAAAGAAAGAAACAAAATACAACATTCACAATAATATACTGAACTTTCAAAAGGACAACTGAGGTTAATAGAAGCAGGAAGGGAGGGGGGAGGGGGGAATGGGTAAAGGGCCATGAATAGCAATGATAGTGTATATTACTGAATATAATAGTTATCTGATGTGCATATGGCACACAAGTATTGATGTTTAACTGTGTACCCCACAGATATGTACAATCGACTTTGTTACAATAAAAATAAATAAATAAATAAATAAAAGAAACTCCTATGTTTCACATCCATTAAAATGACTATAATTAAAAAGCAGAGAAAATAACAAGTGTTAGCAAGGATATGGAGAAATTACAATACCTGTACATTGCTGGTTATATATATATATATTTATGGCACCTTATTTTTTAGTGATGTTGTTCTCTGTGGCAGGGTTGGTCTGAAATAAGTCACGTTATATTAGCCAGAAACAAAAGTTTTCCAACAAATTTTTGAAATGTAGCATTCTGGCACCATTTTCTAAAAATTCATTGCGATTTTGTCTTCAACTTTCTCTCAAAAGTTATTTAGCTGGTAATCCTGATATCAATAGCTGATGAGGGTATTACAAGAAAGAGCAATTATGGGCCAGTCTCTCTCATTAAATAGATGCAAAAATCAACACCAAAATTTAACAGATAAAATCCAACTATATATAAAAAGGATAATACATCAGAACTAAATGAGATTTATTCCAGGAATTTGGGGGTAGATTGATACTGGAAATTCAATCAATGTAATTCATCAGATTAACAGAAAAACCGTATCATCATTTTGACAGATGTAGAAAAAACATTTGATAAAATCAGCACCAGTTAATGATAAAAACTCTGAACCAAGAGGAATAGAAGAAAATTTCCTTAATCTGATAAAGAATACTGATTAAAAAAAAATCTGCATTAATCATCATACTTAATGGTGAATTATTTAAGGTTTTTCCCTGAAATTGAGAATGACACCATAAAACAATAAGAAAAAGATAATCAACCTAACTTAAAATAGGGCAAAAGACTTATCAAACAAGCATTTCACAAAAGGGCATACTTAATATTCTCTATTTTTTTTGGCAGCTGGCCAGTACAGGGATCCAAACCCATGACCTGGTGTTACAAGGCTGTACTCTAACTGAGCTAACTAGCCAGCCCTAAAAATGCAGTTTAGAATCCACCAAATATAAGGTATATGTTAATTATGTTAGTCAGTGCATAAAGATTTATATTTGTTTTATCTACACTGTAAAATAAACATCAATAATTACCTTTTCCCCTATTCTTTTGGCCTTCAATTAAACTCTGATTTTTGACGTTGCAATCTCTTCTTTCTTTTTATCTGTATTTTCCAGGTATATATTTGAAAATGTGTTCTTTAAGTATAGCGAATTAAATCAAATGTTTTTAAAATTGTTGCAATATAAATATAAAACTACTTTCTGAAAACTGTAGATGGTGAGGGATTGCTGTACTTTAATTAGGGAGCTATATAGCCACTTAGGTTTATTGACACAATTCTTGTTTGGTCATTTCTGTCATCTCATTTTAATTCCATTTGTAGGGTTCCTAAACTATGTTTTATTTTGTTTTTCTATATTCTAGCTTCTTTCATTTGCTTTTTCTCGCTAGTCATTTGCAAGTTAGAAATCTTGCATTCCAGTTTCTACTAATGGTTACTTTTGAATTAACTGTTTAAAAAATACTTCATAGTTCCCTGATTTTCTAAATTATAAACAAAATTATCTTTTTACTTCTACATAAAATGTGTTACTACTAAAAATTAATTCTATATTTTAATAGCTCTGAGGATATTGGAGCTCTCCCCCAAATTATCCTATAAGTGCATCATCTTCTCCATAGTGTCCCATAAAGTATTTCCTTAACCCTTTTTCCATGTCTTCTTCCATTCCTAAAACTTTTCACTCTATTATATCCTCAATCTCTATCTCCTTAACTGAAGGCACCACCACTGCCCTATCAAATGGTAGTTGTACCTCAGGGCGAGGAGAGGGTATTGGTGTTCTCCTTACAACCCATTGTGATCTCCAAATCCCTAGTAGTATGACTGAATCAAACCAAACATGCATTTAAAAATTGTTGGAATATCTACCTTACTCTTTCCACTCTACCTTTATGTCTACCATCACCCAGAGCGACTTCAATGTCTACATGTATGATCCACCCAAGACCACTGTAACTCATTTTCGCAACCTCTTTATCTCCAATAATCTTCTACTCCATTCCACTTCAGCATCTATTCCCATGGCTGTGACTTGGGTCTTGACATCATAACTGTTTCACCTCCAAAATTACTAAGTCAAACACCTTATTGTCTGATAACTTCCTCTTCATCCAACTTGCTTGTTCAACCACTTTGTTTATAACTTTTATTCAACCTCATTTGGGATGTCCAGCTCACTGATCATTCCACTTTCTCTCAGACAATTAACCTTCTATTTTTTTTCACTTCTTTATCTCACTTAGATTCCATTGTCCACCCTCCTGCCACTATTCTAAACTTGCTTGCCTCTTTGACTTTTCATTGTACACATTTAGCAAAATCCAGAGCTAGTTAAATACAAATAGCTTTTTTTCCTAGGGCTATGGCTGAAGACCTAAGTACTATTACTAAACACAGGGCAGAATATTTCATTATAAGTTCATGACCATCAACTTCAAAAAGGGCCCTCGATACTACCTATAATTCTACCATGTTTTGCTGATCAACTGATACTCTTCCACTTTCCCCAAGAGCTATTTTCAAACCTCCTCCATTTTACTCAATCTTAAGACCAACCTCCCATTTCTCCCCATCATCCTCAATAGCTAAACTCAACATTTACTTTGCAAATAAAATAGAAGAAATCAAAGGAGAGCTCCTCATCTTTCCCCAAACACAAAACCTAATCTATACTTGCATCCCACCCTGTTAAAATAGTGGCGCTATCCTTCACCCTGTTTCAGAATTCATCTTGTTTCATCTTCTATTTTATTTTTGCTGTCCTAAATATTGCGCTTTCTCTTCTCATTTGTTTTTACACATGATAAAATCTCTGGGAATAAACCAAAACCCAGTTCCTTTCAATTCTATATCCTTCTTCAGCTATCTCTCAGTGGTGGTTTTCATCAGAAAGGAAATCTGTTACATAGGCATATAGAAATTTATCATGTACATCATATGTGCTTAGTGGATTTCTAAAAATAAAATCAAATAATTTGGTATTCATAAATGTATCTCATATATGTTCACAGAAAAAAATGTACTAGATTTAGGAGGGAGTGTCTTAGGAAGACACATGCAGATACAAGAGGTCTTCAAAAAGTTCATGGAAAATGCTTACAAATCAAATAATTTGGTATTCATAAATGTATCTCATATATGTTCACAGAAAAAAATGTACTAAATTTAGGAGGGAGTGTCTTAGGAAGACACATGCAGATACAAGAGGTCTTCAAAAAGTTCATGGAAAATGCTTACTATAAAAAAAACTATGCAGGCTGGTTATACTTGGTTAGAGTGTGGTACTGATAATACCAAGGCCAAGGGTTTGGATCACCTTACCGCTCAAACAAAACAAAACAAAACAAAAAAACTATGCAAGGATTTAAAAATTTTTTGCACCAAAATAAACATGTACTAATTTGTTACAAAATGTCTGAACTGGATCTAGTTTGAGACCCTAAGAAGGATAAGACAGTTTGAAAAGAGCCCCTATCAGAGCAACATGAATTCTACTAAAATTGAAGCAAGAACAAACATCAAGTTTATGGTGAAACTTGACTGGAAGAATGGTGAAATCATTGATGCTTTATCAAAAGTTTACACGAACAATGCCCCAAATAAATAAGTTTACAAATGGAGAACTTGTTTTAAGAAGGGACAAAACGACTTTGAAGATGAAGCCTGTAGAGGTGGACCATCCACATCAACTTGCAAGGAAAAAATTAATCTTGTTCGTGTCCTAACTGAAGAGGATTGACTATGAATAGCAAAAATAGCCAACACCACAGACATGTCAATTGGTTCAGCTTACACAATTGTGACTAAAAAATTACAGTTGAGCAAACTTTCCACTTGATGGGTGCCAAAATTGCTGTGCCCAGAACAGCTACAGACAAGAGCAGAGCTTTCAATGGAAACTGTTAACAAGTGGGATCAAGATCCTAAAGCATTTCTTCGAAGAACTGTAACAGGAGGTGAAACATGGCTTCAGTAGTAGGATCCTGAAGACAAAGCACAAAGCCCAAGAGGCAGAAGTGGTCCAGTCAAAGCAAAAGCAGACTGGTCAAGAGCAAAGGTCATGTCAACAGTTTTTTGAGGTCAGTAGTAGGATCCTGAAGACAAAGCACAAAGCCCAAGAGGCAGAAGTGGTCCAGTCAAAGAAAAGCAGACTGGTCAAGAGCAAAGGTCATGTCAACAGTTTTTTGAGATGCTAAAGGCATTTTGCTTACTGACTTTCTGGAACACCAAAGAATGATAATACCTGCATATTATGAGAGTGTTTTGAGAAAGCCAAAGCTTTAGCAGAAAAATGGGAAACCTTGGGAAACCTTCCCCACAGAGTTCTTCTCCACCATGACAATGTTCCTGTTCATTCTTCTCATCAAACAAAGGCAATTTTGTTAGAGTTTTGATGGGAAATCATTAGGCATCCACCCTGAGTCTTGATTTCATTCTTTCTGACTTCTTCTGTTCCTAATCTTAAAAAATCTTTAAAGGGCACTCATTTTTCTTTAATTACTGTAAAAAGGAATCATGTAAAAATTGACATGGTTAAATTCCCAGGACCCTCAGGTCTTTAGAAATGGACTAAATGGCTGGTATCATCACTTACAAAAGTGTCTTAAACTTTATGGAGCTCATGTTGAGAAATAAAGTTTATATTTTTAATTTCTATCTTTTAATTATATTTTCCATGAACATTTTGAAGTCCCCTTGTATAAATGAGATAATTAATAGGTTCTACATTCTTGCTGAAGAAGTCTTAGAGCTAAGAATGGTCTGTACAAGCACCACTCTTACTTGTTAGAGCCATGGGATCCTCACCTCATGCTACTGACATTATAATGTACGAAATCACAAATAAGTAAACCCTCAGGGGTAGAGCAACAGTGGTCTAGTGTTTACCTTGGAAGACAGACTATGGAAGAGCCTGAGAAGTATGACAGGATGGAACAAAGAGTGAGATGATATGAGGGAGGAATACAGTGGTAAAGAAAAGCATGAGAGAATGGTCACCAGAATAAATAAACCTAAGTGCCCAAGAATCCACACAGCCTTGTCTATCCACCTTGGCTGACGAGGTTAAATAAGAGAGCCTGAATTGGCAGACATTAGAAATCATTCTCTTGCATGCATTGCTATCAACTACAGCAGTCTTCTGCCTTGATTGTTCTCTCTGCCCTTTGCTGCCATCATAGAAGGTCAAGCCCATTCCAAAAGGGAAGAATAGATAGAATAAGAGGTCAAGATCTCTTGGTCGCCTTCACAGCTAAACTTTTTGAAGGAGTTGTCAATTGCTACTGTGTCTCCATTTCTGTAACTCTCAATCATTCCTCCACCCACTCTAGTTTGGCTTTCAGCCCCATTGCTCAATCAAAACAGCTCTTGCTTAATCTCTTCAAACATTTGACCTGGCTTATTGCCTTATTCTTGAAACACTCTTTACTTTGACTTACACGATGTAACTCTCTCATGGCTATTCCTCCTACCTCTTAGGTTGCCTCTTCCCTTTTCCTTTGTTGCCCCATCTTCAATACTTACTGCTTTTCATCTTGCCATAGGGACTTTACATGCAAGTCTTCCCTCATTCTGAAACACACTTCTTTTCCACTCTTTGCTTAACTCTGACTCTACATTCAGATACAGTTTAAACAACACTTCCTTGGGAAAGGTTTCCCTGACAAAGGCACATTCCTCCCTAGCTAAATCAAACCCATCTATTATATGGTCTCAGAGCACCACCCCTTCAGGGCAATTACCACAGTTGCAGTCTGACCAAATATCACACAACACCTTGTTTATCTCCCATCTACCAGCTACAAGTTTCATGAGTGTAGGAACTATACGCTTTTATTCATTATGGCATGTACAGTGCCTATTACTGTACTTAACACATATCAATATATTGATATTTATATGCCAATAGGTTGAATATATGAATGACTAAACTCTTTATCTGAAGTACTTTGAATGTGTTTCTTTTTATTTCCAAAGAGTCTTGACTAAAACAACACCTATTCATTCCAACATATAATTACTGAGTACCTAGGCACTAGCCAAGGAATTAGAATAAAGTGGTGACAAAAACAAATATGTTCCCTACCCTTATGGAACAAACTATCTAAGGAAAGAGCTATTAAATTAATCATAGAAATAAGTTTATTATCATGATTTTATTTAGGTGCTATAAAAGAAAATTCAAAATAGTATGACCTATGACAGGGGTATCTAATGGATACAAAACATGTTGGTAGACAAAAATGTGTTCTAATTCCATCTCTTGAGAGCTGTGTTTATCTCCTTTAATGCTAGACAGTTTTTTCATGGTTTTTGTACATTTTCCCGGTTTGTTTATCTTTAAATAAGGATATCATGGCCTAGTATTAGCTCTAAAATTATGAGGAGTTTTCTTGAATTCCCCACAAGTTTATCAATGGATGTTATTACAGTTAAAACATGAGGGCTAATGGATGTACATTTATAACACCATTTCATGTACCACTAGCAGTCTCTATTGTTCTGCTGTGGTTTTGGAAATTCTAGTGTTTGGATGAATAAAGAGAGGTACTTAACTTAAAAGGGGGAATCACAGGACACAAAGTACTCTGTGATCTTGAAAATCAGCATTCCAAGGAGGGCCAGCTTCTGTTTGGTTGTACAGACTTGGCATTTCTAAACCCAGGGCATAAGGAACTTGGGTGATGTGGGGTGGGGGTAGTGGGGATGGGGTGAGGATGAGGAACAAAAGAGTATCTTCCTTTCTATTTTCATTACTTACATGTGGCCAGGAAATTCAACGGCCTTATGCTTACTGAAAATAGTTCTCAAAATCAGGTAATATATTTTGTTATTCAAGTATTAAGTGATGTGCCATTTCATTTTTTCCTGTACTTCATGAATTGTTTTAGTGACAAAATGGGCCAGGCTATAACTGCTGCTAACCAGATGTTATTTTAAACTAGAACTCATTACTTGCTTGTAGTGGATTGAATTGTCCCCCCAAAACTCAATGAAGCTTGAATTGTGTCCCCCAAGTTTTATGTATTAGAAACCTGGCCCCCACTGTGACTGTTAAGAGGGTGGGACATCCCATTATGGTAATTGAAAAGTGGAGTCTTGAAGAGGTGATTGGATTGTAGGACCACGCAGTAGTGAATGGATTAAAAATGGTAGTCAGAGGCATGGTTCTGAGGGCTTTAAAAGAAGAGGAGAGTCTGTCTCTCTCTCTTGCTCTCTCTGTTTGACCATCTTGCAATGTGAGACCCCTGCGTCACTGTTGTCACCACCAGATGGACTTTGGACTTCCCAGCCTCAAAAACTGTAAGCAATAAATTTCATTTTCTTTGTAAATCACCCAGTTTCAGGTATTTTGTTATAAGCAACAGAAACAGACTAATACAGGGCCGGCCTGGTGGTGCACTGCTGCAGTGCGCCGCTTGGGAAGTGCGGTGGCACTCCTGCCGAGGGTTCAGATCCCACATACGGACCATCCGCTCACTGGCTGAGCGGGGTGCGGGGGCAACACCGAGGGTTGTGATCCCGTTGCCGGTCCCGGTCCGGTACGGGCGCGACACTGAGGGTTGCGATCCGTTGCCAGTCATGAAAAAAAAAAAAAAAAAGAAACAGACTAATACATTGCTTTAGAACGTAAGGTGAAGAAGATGTCTGTATTCAGAGTAACTGCTATAACTGGAAAATAAGTTGGAGGCTGAGTACATTAAAATGGATTCTAGGGCCGGCCCGGTGGCGCACTGCTACAGTGCGCTGCTTGCGAGCGTGGCGGCGCTCCCGCCGAGGGTTTGGATCCCACATAAAGACTGGCCGCTCACTGGCTGAGCGAGGTGCGGACGCAACACCGAGGGTTGCGATCCAGTTGCCGGTCCCGGTCTGGTACGGGCGCGACACTGAGGGTTGCGATCCGTTGCCGGTCACGAAAAAAGACAAAAAGGAAAAAAAAAAAATGGATTCTAGTTCTATGATATTAAATACTTTTTATGATACTCACTGTTCTGAAATTCCTTGTACTTCTTTTGTCCAGTTAGATTGTTCTTTATCTCCAAGATGGACCACTTTAGATGGTGGAGCAGTTCTTCCTGAATAAAGCTTCTGTGTTCCTGGAGGTTCTTCCAAGTAAAACCTTAAATATTAAAATAAAATACAAATTATATAACCAAAATCTTGTTGTTTAATACAGAGTTCCAGCAGTATATGTCTTCAAAGTAAAAAAAAATCCTACATGGTAGAAAAGCAAAAATAAAATAAAATAAAAAAGGCTTTTTAAAAAAATTTTTAAAGCAAATTGCTATTTTTTTCTTTAAGAAACTAAACATATAATACAAAAATAAAAATTTTTAGAGTTCAAAAATATTTGCAAATTCAATATAAAGTATGTAATAGTACCTATAATTTTTGCCAAAAAAGTTTAACAAGAATTGAATCAGCCACTAGACTTAACTTCTAGTTTATAGGAAATATGCAAGATGGAAGACCAAGTTAAGGGACACTAAGAGGAAACAACAGAGCAAATCCAAAATTCTAGAAAATAACTGGCCTGGATGCTTTAAAAAGGCAGAAAGTAAGTTCAGCAAATTCTTGGGATATAAAACGAACATACGTAAATCAATCATATTTCTATATAATAGCTGGGGAAACAAATTTAAAATAATAACATTTATGGTAGTGCCAAGAGAAATTAAATCCTTAGGTATAAATCTGACAAAACATGAACATGATCTGTATGATGAAAAAAACAAAACATTAATGAAAGAAATCAAACATCTAAATAAATGTAGAGATATATACTGTGTTCATGGATTAGAAGAGTCAATATAGTAAAGATGTCAGATCTCTCCAAATTGATCTACAGGTTTAATACAATTTCTATCAAAATCCCTCCAAGATTTATTTATTTTAAAATTCATGCGTAAAGGCAAAGGACCTATAATAGCTAAAACAATTTTGAAAAAGAAAAATAAGGTTAAAGGAATCATTCTACCTGATGTTAAGACTTATTACACAGCTACAGCAATCAAGACAGTGTGGTATTAGCATAAAAACAGACATACAGACCAACGGAACAGAATAAAGAACCCAGAAATAGACCCACACAAATATACCCAACTGACTTGAAAAAGGTGAAAAAGCAATCCAATGGAGGAAGAATAGTCTTTTCAACAAATGATGCTGGAGCAACTGAACATTCATAGACAACTATATGAAACTTGATCTAAGCCTCATACCTTATATAAAAATTAATTCAAAATGGATCACTGACTTAATGTAAAAGGAGGAAAAAACACAAAACTTTTCAAAGAAAATATAAAAGAAAATCTTTGGGATTTAGGGCTAGGTGAAGAGTTCTTACACATGACACGAAAAGCATAAAGAAAAAAAATGATAAATTGGACTTCAACAAAGATAGCAGAACTGAATTTTGATGATTAAGAAGGAATCCTCAAGATTTCATACAGAAAAGCATATACGAACAAAGGAACAAAATCATACTGGCATTGACTTCTTATCAACAACATTACATGACAGAGCACATTTGAGAGATGCATGCAGAGCTCTAAGAAAAAAGGAAAAAGGACTGGGCCTCTAAAATTCTATTTCTTTTTTGAGAGATGCATGCAGAGCTCTAAGAAAAAAGGAAAAAGGACTGGGCCTCTAAAATTCTAAACCTATGTAGAAAGAAAACAAAAAAGATATCTTGGACATTTAATAACTCAGAAAGCATAACATCCACCCATTTTCTATAAAAAAAAATTTACTTCAGAAAGTTCTACCGACATGAAAAATAACAAAAGAGCCAGAAATCAGGAAGATAAGGTTTACATGACATAATGGTAGAAAAATGACGAAGACTAATGTCTAAATATTCACTGATAAAAATGATTGTGAACCTGAATAAAATATTAAGGAATTATGTTAGAATAGAAGATACAAGTTTAAAAAAAAATTAATGTATTATTTAAATGAAACCTGGGAGGGGCAAGGTAAAGGTAAAGTTACATATGTTATTAATTCTTGTCAGAAAGAGAAATATATTTGCTAAATGATATATATAACGATAACCAATATATATAATAATAATAATAATAATATATATACTGCTAGAAAAGAATTAGGATACAGAAATTCCAAGCTAATAAAAGGAAAAGAAAGAAAATAGGGAAAAATAACATATGCATCTAATATATTTCTAGAGGTTGAACTTTGTTGTGATTAGAGGATTTTAATTTTCACTATAGAGTGTAAATGTTCTTACAATAATTTTATCAGTTAAAAAAAAGAATCAATGAAAGCCATCAAGTAGCAAAGCAAATATAAATTAGAAAAATTATAAATCAAATCTTACTTGGTTTCTCCATCTGATATAGCTACAACTCGAGCTTCTTCAAGGTGAGGCCAATTAACAAAGACAGACTTTCCAAGCACTGATGAAGCTACATTTTCTATACTCTAAAAGTAAAAGCAGAAAAGTTCATTCATGTTTCAGGTCCAAGAGAAAACTTTACACAGGCAAAATTTTGCATTCTGCATTCAAATTTTTTAATTTCTAAAATGAACAAGTTGGATTAGTTGCTTTACAATATTCTATCCAGTTGTAAAACCCATGATTCCACTAATTAGAATCATGATTATCTTGCTTATTTTTCTCATGGTAACTCAGAAAAGTGAAAAGCACAATAGAAATGTCTAGAAAATGGCTCTTCATTATTTCATTTCAAATGATTAGATATTTAAAACAGTATCGAAGAAATCTGGTCTCATTTCAGTTTGTGGCAGTTATATAATAAAAAAAGAGTACTAAACTCAAAGTCAGGAAACACAGGTCCAAATTTAGGTTTTACCTCTTTTCAGCTATAGAATTTTAGGCAAATCATTTAATCTCACTGAGTCTCAGTCTTTTTTTATGAGAAGAAATAACATCTACCTTACAATGTTGAGGATAAAAGAAAATAATATATACAAAAGCTTTTGTAAACTGTAAATGTTGTACAAATGTTCTGTATGAAATAATACCTTAAGCAAAAATTCTAGTTTTAAAAGGAAACTATTATCCAATTCAATTTATACATACAGGTAAGTCAACAATTTTGTGGTAGAAACTGAAAGTTAAATATAAATTTTCATCCATCTTTTTTCTATTTATCATCTTTAATCATTATTAACAAATACTTCCTTAACAATTAGTGATAACTATTTTTAGGCTTTTTTGGGGTAACTTTTAATTTTGATATTTAGACATTTCTTAATGTGAACATACAAAACAATAGAATAATGATTCAGTTAAATAAAACAAGTCTCAACATTTAGAACTAGGCTCTCCCAATTATCCTTTTTCCTTCTATACATCTATTTTTCTAATTTCATTTTCTCACCCTTTCCTTTAGTTTTTAAGGAAGAACTTGTCTTCCTTTCCCAGATTAATTCTTTCATTTAAGCCCTAGATGAGGCCCCTTATTACCTCAAATGGGTCTTGTTATCATAAACATCCTTTCCCTCTACAATGGCCTTAAGACCTCCTTTCTCCATTAGCTCTACTTTTCTACTTTTGTATGGATTTTGCTTGATGAGCTGCCTCTTTTCAACCCATAGTTATGTTTTTAGCCCTCTTTCCAAGGCTCGAACAAGGCTTAATACTTGCTACCTCTACTTCCTACCTACCTAGTCCTAGCCTAGTCCTTAGGAATTAGACTTCTGCCTCTACCAATCTACTGGAATGGAATTCTTAAAGGCCAACACTGATGTCCTAATGGACAAATTCACAGACCTTGTTTTAGTTATTTATTCTCCTTCAAACTTGTACAGCATACACTCCCTGCTCCATGCTTCTGTGATATTACTTAACCTGGAAATCATTCTTTCTTACCTTTCTGTCCACTATGTCACTTTTACTGGCTTCTTTTCCACCCTTTATAACTTTGGGTATTTCTTTATGCTGAGACCATGAACCCTGCTCCATGCTTCTGTGATATTACTTAACCTGGAAATCATTCTTTCTTACCTTTCTGTCCCCTATGTCACTTTTACTGGCTTCTTTTCCACCCTTTATAACTTTGGGTATTTCTTTATGCTGAGACCATGAACATTCAGGGTACATTTTCTTCAGGGAAATGAGTCTCAAGGCCTCAGCTATCAACTGTCTGTTGATGACTTTTATATCCCAATCTCCCTCCAAGCTCTAGCTCTAAGTATTTAACTGTATATAGGTAGCCTTTCCAAACTAAGGTTTTTCTTCTGAACCACAGAACACAAAAAAATAATTTGACTATTTCCTCAATTCTTCCAAGGATGGTATATAAGTAGTACCATTCTAAATTAAATGCACCAAAGATAAGTTAATTTATTACATGTAATAAATGACTTAGGGCATTAGGGCTTCTATCTCTTGTAGAACAATGCTTAAGAAAGGCTGGCAGGTCAGCTTCAGTTAAACCTCCTAGTACCACCTTAAAATTTCATCATTATTTATCAACAATCCCCTTAAACCAGAAACTTCCTTATTTTAACTTTTCTAGTCCAGTAAACTACAATTATTTTCTAGTTAATTAGCCTGGATATTTCAGTGTTATATTTACTATTTTTTTCCCTCTTTTTACCCCCTATATTTGAACAACAAAACTTGTCAGTTTTTCTTAGTCTTATTCATTTAGATCTATTGCAGCTTCCAAAATTTGTCCTTATCACCTAATGCTATAACCTCTGAACTTGCACGCTTTCCCATTTTCTTCCATTTCTCTGTGCAGTTTAGTATATTATACTGCCATCAAATTAATCTTTATGACAATACCACTTTCAAGAAACAGTCATTGAAAACAAAAAGTCCAAAATCCTTAGCCTGGTATTCAAGGTCCTTCATAATCTGGCCTCAATCTGTTTTTTTCAACCTTATCTTCCACTATTTCCCAACATAAAAATCCTCTGCTTCAGTCAGGTTTATCTATTCTTTCTCCTCAAATATATCATATTTATTCTAAAAAAAGACAAAGTATTAAGAAATATTTCAGACACACAAAAAGGTTAAACAGAATAAGTTAATGTATCATATTTATTTTTGACTAAAATTCCCAGCTCATGATATGTCTTTCAACTATAATGCCTTTCCCTTCCTTTTTTCCTCTTTGTCCTAACATGTTTTTTAGCACCCAGTTCAAGCCTATTCTCATCTACTTAACCTCTGGCTTGCACAGCTCATCTTCTTGCAAAACTCCCAGAGCATTTTTTTGCTCATTGTATCACAATTACACAGGTTCTTAAACTATTGTCTAATTTGTATAAATGTTTCTTTGCTTTATTCTTATTTAAGCCATGAACTTCTGAAGTTACAATATGTTATACCTCTTTGGTAAACACCTCTGCAACTATGAACAATTTTATGCATAATAAGCACCTAATAAATGAATGATAAATAAAATACTTACAAGATCATCTGGTTCTGCATTCACTAAGACTTCCAACATCATGTTTTCTCCACGACTGCTTTGCTGGAATACCTGAACACCACTTTTCTTCAAAAAAAACTTTAAAAGAATTCAAAGATTTTTATTTTAACTCTCTCTTTATAATCACTTCACATCTAATAAAGTGAAAAAAATTCTGAACTAAATAGCCACTGACTTTGTGTTTGATATGTTTCAGAGTAGGAAATCCACAGAAATATAATGCCTTCTGGTTAACTCTGGTTATTTTGTTCTTGTTTATATCAACACGCCAAGCATCTAATGATATTATTTTGTACCTAGAAAATAAATCAAGGCATTAAATTTAAAGTTCATACACTACAAGCAACTACAGTTTTTCAGGTTTTCCTTGAATATTTCATAAGGGTCAACCTTGCCTTTAAAGAAGGAATGATAATTAGTCCTTTAAGAGAAAGAAAATACGGAGTAGGACAGCCCAGTTTCTCTGTTGTTACGGGACCTGACACAACCAGGCCAGTAGCTTACTAAGTAGAAGTTTTTCTCCATTCATTGAAAATAAAACTAAACGGGGCCAGCCGTGTAGCTAAGTTGGGTAGAGTGTGGTGCTGATAACAGCAAGGTCCAGGGTTTGATCCCTGCTCTGATCAACCACCAAAAAAAAAAAAAAAAAGATAATACAAAACAATATAATTAATTTTTAAAATAAAGGTAAGTTACAAAGCATAACAGAAATCTCTATACCCACCATGTTCCAAAACCCAGCATGGAAAATAAACTTTTTTTCTTTTGGCAGCTGTTTGTTTCGAGGATCCTTGGTTATAACACTGCACTTGAAACAACTGAGCTAACATGCCAGCCCCCAAAATAAACATTTTATAATGTCTATTTCATCCTCTTTGCTTTAATGAAAGAAAAAAATCATAACTGAGATATGTTCACTTTATTTGCAACTCAATTGCCCCCTAGGTACATTATTTGCAGGGAAGATAGAAAAGAGAAAAAAGAAGGAAGCCATTTTAATGAGAAAAAGAAAGAAAACATGTATTTGAGGCCAGAAAACAGAGAAGCTCTTTTGTTTTTACTTTTCTTCTTTCTAGGTGGGTGGTTGAGGGTATGAGAGGCAAAGTCATATCATATCAAATAATGCTGAGACCACAGACATTGACAATGGAAACAAAAATTCACACATCCTCTTGAGGGAGACAAAGGGCGGAGATATACACTAGAGAGAAAAAATACAAAACAACTTTAACAGAAGAAGGAAATAGAGAAGCAGAATCTAACCAAAGCAGAGAATTATAGAAACATGTGAGAGATGCTATGATCCTTAGCTAGTCATATGTAACTCATTAACTATTATATGACCATAACTATCAGAAAGTATTTGTTAATTCTCTAAATAGATGTTCAAAGCTTTTTTGGGGGGGTGTCAGAGGGTTCTTTTGTTGTAGTTGAAAAATTACCAATAACATTACCTTGTACAACATCGTTCTACGGCAGGAAACTTTTCTGGCCATGGAGAGGGGTAGGTGAATTCTGTGTCTCTATCATACCAGAACATTAGGCACTCACTATGTTGGTTTCTTTTCCTCTCTTCCTTTTTGAGGGAGTAGTTACATGTCTCCATGGCTTCCAACAATCGCTTCTGAATGTAAAGATTAAAGACAAAGTTTAAAAGTATAAAAATTCTGTAATCTCAATATACAAAATAAATCTTTTCCCTCTATAAACAGAATCACTATTTGTGTTCCTGAAAAACAAAATCCCAACTCTTTGTGATTTCAGTGAAACTCTTTTTTTTTCCATTGAGAAGTTTTCATTTTTTTCATTGAAATCAATGAAACTCTTTTCAATTTCATTAAATTAAAAAAGTAATGTGCTATTGTTTCAAAGGGCCCTAGAATATTGCTGCTACTGCAAATTCCTTTATAGCTCTAACAACAGCCACTACAATATGGATAAAAACAGCAGCAGTGAATCAAATTTTAAATGTGAATTTTCCATAATTATATCATAATTCATAGAGTATTAATATCTTTACAAATTCTGCAGTGGTACAGCGATGTCCATCTTTCCAAATTAACTTATACATTTAACATAATTCCAATCAAAATACCAACAGTTTAAAATATTGTTTTTTATTAAAAAAGACAAAATGATGTCAGTGTTCATATGGAAGAACAAATGTATGAACAGAAAAAAGCAAATGGAGACTTGTTTTAGCAGATTCCATTACTTTTTACAAAGCAACTGTAATCAAAATACTTGAGTAATGACACAAGAGATCCACAGACCAGAAGAACAGAATTGAGTTGAACAGATCCAAATCTATGTCAAAATATTTCAGATATTTAAATAATAATGTTGTCAAAATTAGCTACTCAGCTGAAAAAAAAGCCTGTACACTTCTCAACTTCACACCATATAAAAAAACAACTATCAGAGTAGTAAAACAAAAAAACATTGGAAGAAAATCTAGGAGAGTACTGATGAGAAGTGATAAACTCTTATTTAAGACAGGGAAAAAACCTAACAACCTTAAGAAAAAAGATTTTTAAGTAAAAGAAAATGTATGTGACAGAAGATGGCATACACAAATCAAGAGACAAACGTGACAAGGGAGAATGCAATTCCTCATATATAAAGTTGCTAAAAAGAAAAAGAAAAAAACAGGAAGAGAAATAGGGGAGAGAATATACATGAAGAGGCAATTTATCAAAGAGAAAATGCAAATAGCAAACATACATAAAAATGTACTCAATAAAAACAGACATACAGACCAATGGAACAAAAGAGATAGCCCATAAATAAAGCCAAGATTTACAATCAATTGATCTTTGATAAGGGTGTCAAGAACGCACATGAGGCAAGGAAAATCTCTTCAATAAATAGTGGTGGGAAATTGGAAATACACATGCAGAAAAATGAAACTGGACCTTATCTTATACTATACACAAAAAATCAAAATATATTAAAGACTTAAACATAAGACCTGAAATTGTAAAACTAATAGAAAAAAACAGGGAAAAAGCTTCTTGACATGGGTCTGGCCAATAATTTTTTGGATGTGACTGAAAAAGCACAGTCAATAAAAGCAAAAATAGACAAGTGCGATTGCATCAAACTAAAAAGCTTCTTCTGCACAGCAAAGGAAACAATCAACAGGGTGGAGAGAAAAGCTATGGAATAGAAAAAAATTTGCAAACCATATATCTGTCATAAATTAACATTAAAATATATACAGAAATCAAAATAAATATAAATATTGACATCTCAACAGCAAAAGCAGGGTGATGGTTGAATAAACTATGGTACATGAATACTACAAAATATTATGCTGCTATTAAACAAGGGGTTAGAAGGGTTTGGGTCCTCGTACCAGCCAGTCACCTCCCCACCCCCAAAAAAGAATGGGTTAGATTTCTATGTATTGACCTGGATGGATGTCCATGATATTTTTATTATTAAATAAGAAAAAGCTGTAGAATAATATCTACACATCCCATTAAGAAATAAAACAACTTTCTATGGATATAAATAAGCTATATATGTTTCTATGACTATAGTAGGACTTAAGGAGGCTGTTAATATTATCTCAGAAAAAAGGTAATAACTAAAGGAAAGTAAAACAAATAAGCAAATGCCCAAGACAGCAAATATGGAGTAAACTATTTACACACACACACACACACACATCACTAACACCATCATCATGAATAAATCCACTCTTACATATAAAACCTTTTACCATCTGTATTAAAGAAAAAAGAAAACAATTCTTTAATTTCACAGCAAATACTGTAAGTTTCTGAGGAAGACAGATTGTATAAACTTCTTATTTGTAAAGTTAGAAAAAAGGTACTTATAAATATGCTAAAGAGCACTGTATATGCACCCAGCCTTTAGCCTGGCACAGAGAAGATATTCAACCAATATTTGCTGACTGAAGATATCTTCTCACTCTTTTCCTTGACTAGACACACCATGGAGTAATGTTGCCAGTGATAGGACTTCATGCCGGACAAGTGGTGATGGCCCTGTTAGACTTTTTTTTAAAAAAAATAATTTTTCACAAGAAGTTGCAAAATTAGTACAGAGTATTCCTATGTACTTTTCACCTGGCTTTCCCCAATGATAACTTATATCATCAATGATATCTTATACATAATTGTAGTACATTATTTAAACCAATACATTGATATTGGTACAACACTACTAACTAAACTACTAGCTTTTATATGTGACCTTTTGCTTGGTGTACAGTGCCATGGAATTTTTACCATATGTATAGATTCATGCAATCACTACTAAAATCATTACACAGAACTGTCACATCATCATAAAGAAGCTCACTAGTGTTACTCTTTTAAATAGTCACCTCCTATCTCCAACTTTAATCCCTGGCAACCACTTACATGTTTTATATCACAATAATTTTGTTAATTCAAGAATATTATATAGGGGCCGGCCCGGTGGCGCACTGCTACAGTGCGCCACTTGGGAAGCACGGCGGCGCTCC